CATGATTTTTAAAGTCTCCCATTAGATTTTGACTGAACTGGCTCTGTTATGCAACTACGTATATTCAGACAATAACTAAATAACTGTATAAAATATGCACATGGTCCTTCTAATAGAAAACCAAGGCACAACGGACACAATTATTTCTGCAAATCTTAAAATTATGCACTCAGATGCACATACACAGTGGTGGATCACCTTTCTGGGAGCCACATGCACCTCTAAAGGCCAGACTTAGCCTCCTTGATACGTCTGCAACTCCCGAAGCTGTCGTGTATTAAAATCAGGTTAGTTACCATGCTGAATAAAATTACCGAAAAAAAAAAAAAGAAAAAAAATGCAATGAAGTTGGTAACTGGGCTTGAACTGCAGGAGCCCCAGACCAAACATTTCTGCTTCAACAGCCACTTCCTGTGAAGTGCAGGGCACTCTACTGCTTTTGAATGCTAGGAACTGAAAGCGCTAAACCCTTTGCAAGACAGAGCCTTAGTAAGCAGGTCAGTAAATTTTGTGGAAATGCAGTGTAAAGCTTGGTTTTCTGCCTACAAAGTCGGGTATTTTGGAGAGGACTAGGGAGCTGGGGTTTTGGTTTGTTTGGGTTTTTTTGGTCTGGTTCAGTATGGGTAACAAACTTGGCTCTGGTCTGATTTTGCATGGGCATTTTATGTACTGAATGAAACTACTTCCAGAACTAGTTATCTTTAAACAAATCAGCATTGTATTGATCTGTTTCCTGTCTTCTGAATGTAAATAGAAAAATCTTCTAACAACTCTGTATATGAAGCCTGGGAGCTGGCACAATGGTTCAGCAGGCAGTGATCATGATTAGACTTCAAAGAATGTCCATTCTCTGTTTAAATGAAATGAAATAAAATAAAAAGATGAGAAAAGAAAACTTCACTGGGAATGAAAATTAATAGCTAAAAAAAATTAAACAGAGTTTCTGTCCATCAGATGCTCTCTCTCTCAGAAATAATAATCTGAATGCAAATTATGCTCTTAGTGATTACACAGTAAGTGTCAAATCCTGGAACTGAGAGAAATTTTCTGCTGCTGTAAATTAGTACTGGTCTATTTAAAGACCAATTTATCACTGCTCAACTGAATCGATGTAGGAGAGGCAAATTACACCAGCAAAGAATTTGGCCTTGGATGTGCACATATGGCACCCACTGATTTCAACATGTATTACATCAGAGGGCCATCTGTTTGCTGGATTTGGCTCTGCGATTATCTGAAGATCTAAACTTCCCCTACATTCATTCAAACCGATTTGGATCCAACGTTCTGGCCTCTCTCAGACTGACAGCTTCATACAGCTGAAAACAATGGTTGCATTACTACTCTCAGTGCTTCAAAACTGTTGTAATTGACTTTTTAGATAACACCTAATGCCGAGTTTAACAAAAAAAATTAAACTCCACATTAAGGTCTACAAAACATGAAGCCACAGGAAGAATACAGGGCCACGGAAACCCATACCTTCTGAAAATTCACTCCTTGTGCCCAGGAACAGTTCTTGGGGTTTGGAACATCCTCCCAAAACAGTTTCTTCATTCTGGAATATGGAAGGCAATTATTGATTTGGTTCTGTGCATGCACATTGTACAAAGGAAACAACTGCTCACTATTATAATAGCATAAACCACACCAACTAAGGAACTGCTTCATTTTTATTTAAACCTGCATGATACATCCTTTATGGGCAGATTATACTTATTCTGGCCAAACATGTCAATTGGCATAATCAAGTTTCAGCTCAAGCACCTCTGCTATTATAATCCTGAGCTTCAGTTGAACCCACCAAAATGGCTAATTATATACTGGGTAATGGTTTTGTTATGTTGGCAAATGTCATCACAAGTTTGGCTAGCACCATTGACTCATTTCCATTTACGATCTCAAGCATGGTTCTTCAAGGCAAATTATTACAGGAGGGAGGGACAGGATAGGAAAGAGAGGTGGGGGTATGGCACTCTA